ATGACCCATTTACAATTGCGTCCTGTGTAAATATTTTCAAATTATGAATAAACAATGATGTGTGTAATAATAATTTTAAGGTCATTTAATTAGATGATCATCATTATTCGATGCCACAATGTTAATCATAAAAAGAACTAATATATTATTTTAGTTTCAGTTTTTAAAAGCTTTCGAAATGACGACTGTTTTCAAATAACCTTAAGTCCTATTTTAATATTGCAAGTGTAGGCTTCATTGATATTCATATTACTGTGGAGCCAACCGGATTTGGTTCAAAATAGAACTCAACGTTAACTTTTTCTAGAACAAGCATGAATGGTTGTTTTGTTAATAATGCACTCTTATATGTTCATCAGTTCAAAAAAGATTGGTTTGACCTTCGAACATTCCATATATTTAAATTTTGGATTATCATTATCGCAGCAAAATTATTAACCAAATTGATAATTAGGTATATATTGATTATTTTTGAACATGAATAACTCAAGGATGTAAAATTAGTTTAATTGTTAGACTTGTACATTATACATGATTGAAAACATTTGCGATTGCGAGATAAAAATTAAATATAAGTTACAGCTATAATAGGTAATATGTCAAACGAGCATGTCGAAAATATAATTTTGCGAAACCTTTAAAATAAACCATTCCCGAATATAGGTACTCTTAAAATGTTGCCAATATCAAAATCAATAATTTTGGAAATATTTAGTAAAATATTTTTAGTAATATTTGCAAACGAATATTATGAAAACGTGCACTTATCTGCCATTAACTGACGTGACAATATTTTAATTATACACTTTTTTAAATATATTATCAAATGGCCAATAATCAGTAACATTGGAAATAGTAAGCCAAACAAACTAATTATTTCTGAATGTGGAACACGTTTTGGGGGATGTACCTCCAACCATGCTAGTTCGTTTGGAGTGAAATCTTTCTGTACACTGTGTTAAACAATTAATATTTATACCTGTTCAATACTACCTTGTGATGTGTGGAGCCACAAACCTATCCAGTATGTTAGACTATAAACATTAAGTTCAATATTGAGATATAATGGTAATGAAAAATAGGCATCATATTTATAGTACCTTCTAATAATCAGTCGATGTAAAAAAAAACCATAGGCTAATTAAAGTCATATTGCTGTTAATATTTTAATATAAATTTATTTTTTCAATGTTTCATTTTCTATGAAATGTTCTAACCTACTTTAAGTGGAAGTAAGTATATGACTACCCGGCTGATATAAAATGTGAATTATATATTGATTTAATACTTATCAATATTTCATGTTTTCTAGAATAAGCATGGATTAATCTATATAGGTAGCTAGTTTATTTATTATACTTTTATAATTTGTATCCAGAAGTTTACTCAAGGGTGGAACAATTTTTTTTTCAAGATGAATTTTTCAAGTAGAAATTAACTTACTATAAGTTACTTTCTGTACACCAGACCCAAAGTCAAAAATACATGTATGCACAACCGTTGTCACTAACGGAATACGATTAGTACTCTTCAAATTGTAACATTAAAATGAAACGAGCACTTTCGGATTCTTACGAAGAAAATACCACAGTATTAGTTGTTATCCATAATAATACCTTGTGAAAAATGAAAGTTAAATTTAAGAATGTAATTCCTGTAGTGGAAAATTCAAGTGGGTACCTATTATCTGTAGTAAGTTATTTTATTTTTGATTATATGTATATCAAAAAACAAAATCGATGAAGTCAAAAATAATTTTTATATTTATAATAATATGATATCGACACACAATTTTTATATTTTATTTACATTTCGATCAGGCTTAACAAATTTTTTAATAATTTATAGATTATAATTCATACATTAAACGGAATTTTTAATTTTCAAAGTATTTCAAATACTTGGAATTCCAAAAAGGATCAGGCCAATAATTTGCATGTAATTGTCACGTATTTGAACACGGTTGGTTCCGCAACTCTATCGTCATCTGTCGGTTCGCAAAAACGGTTTTCCTAATTGGCACGTGTCCCCAGCACCCCCCCCCCCCCCAAACACAACACGAAACACTTGGAATTGCAAAAGTGTTTGCACGTATATTTGAATAACTATTATATCATATTCCTAAAGAGGGGAATGATATTCATTCGTTTCTAAATCATTCAATTTTTTTGAAATAAATATGTTTAAATTTAATTTTTTTGATAATATTTAATAATTATAATTTTTATTTATTCTGTATTATTCCACAGATCATTTTTTATCAAACCAGCATATTAGGTATGTTTAAATATAATATTGTATTGAAAAAAACAGTATAATGCCTACTATAATAATATAACAATAACTGTAATAATATAATTAACCACGAACTATGATTTAGAATAATTCTGTGATAGTAACTTAAGGGGGCTGCACCATAGCATATTTTAAGGAGTACTATTTAGGCAATTCATGTGACATATAAATTAATACTGTATCTAATCTATGTGTGAATAGTAAATGAACAAACAAGAGATTTTTAAAATAAAATTTATAAATTATTTTAAAATCTCTGATGACAAAGTAGATGCATAATCCCGTTATCGCGTTGATGCGCTAATTCCTGCTAATTCGGCGGGCGCATGAACAGGGGTCTTTCAGTTTAGCAGTCTGCAGCCTTAATTCTCGAACGCTACTTCATACATAGAATCACTTATTTTATTGTGACATTTTTCATATAATTTATTAGCCATGCATGGCACGTTAATTACGGATGAAAATAATTCTTAAAGTTGCGTAAAGCCTTGACCAGTATCAATCACACCCGTCGTAAATGCCATATTAACGTCTAATTTTTTCGAATTTTGTGGATTTTCTGTAAATATTTTTTCTTTTAATCCACAAACTTCACATTTTAAAATAAATGTACTACGGAACCGTGTCTTAGGATTCTGTTCGTTCTACTACCTCCATGCGGACACCGTACGATTCTACGATCTAAAGCATTACACACTTTACACGAGAAAAAATTACACACGAACGATATTATTACGTAGGAATGAATAGATCAGGAAAGTATTCAACGCGAATAAAAAAAGTCGGAAAAATATTACGTAGGTACTTAGGTAATCAGTGGCGTCCGCAGGGGGGGGCTAACGGGCTAAAGCCCCCCCCCCCTATTGCCCGTATTATTATTACTTTTTAAAAAAAATATGAATCAAGTTTAAACTGTCAACTATAGTCTATAGTAAGCAAGACGTAACTTTCATATATGTCTTACCAGAATGAATTCATTTTTGAAAAAACATTGTATTTGCATACCAATTTTCATAAATTATCTGTAATTTTCGGTAAAAAAATGAACTACTTGTATGGAAGACCTTGTATTAAATTGTCTAGCCTTAGCTATACATATTTAATATTTTATAAGTTTGAACTACAAATTAACTGTGGTTAAATTGTTTTGAACTTTAAATGCATATGTAAAAAAAAACTTGCGTATTACATTTTTAAGCTTTTCGATCGGATAAATAATTTTTTATTGACATTTATAAAAAAAAAATTTAATTAGTCAAATACAATCCAAGTGAGGACTATATAACCAAGCAGGGGCGTATATAGGATTTTCTTTAGGAAGGGGATATCAAAATTTGTTTTGTGCTATTGCAACTTTTTGTTAGTTAGGTACCTACTCCATGTAAGGTATATAATAATAATAAATGTTGTGTAATGTCACTCACATGCCCACAGGATAACAAAATTATAAATAACAACAGTACTGCAGCAGTTTGTACTTTATACATGGAAAAAAAATGGGTAAGGGAGGGGGTCTATCCCCCATATCCCCCCATAAATACGTCACTGTAACCAAGCTATTGTTAGCAAACAATTTAAATAAGTTTTCATTTTTTTTTCTCCAATTAGGTACTTTTAAAAGCACTGAGCAGATTCAATTTCGACCTCCTAAAAGTACCAACTAGATCCAATTTGCTTCCAAAAACATACACTGGGCATCGAAGCTTATGATAAGAGCATTTTTTCTACCAGAAAAGTTGAAAAGTTACAAACATTTTAAAATACCTCAAATAAACGTCTGAAATTTTTAGACTGGACAAAATAAAAATTAATTTGTAACTAATTTTCAAGCCCCCCCCCCCCCATTGAAAAATCCTGCGGACGCCACTGTAGGTAATAGTCCGGAAATTATTAGGTACCTACCTACGCAAGAAAATATTTTAAGGGAAAGTAGGTAATAAAATAAATTACAAAATAACATAAATAAACCTAACATTCAAGCCCGCTTTAAGGGGGGGTCCGGGGTGGTGGGCATGGCTATAAATATTTAGAATTTATTAACAAAAGTACCTACTCTTTACTGATTTATAATCACAGATATAAAATTTATTTTATATCTGTGTTTATAATCCAAGACCACGGTCTTATCTTCTAAGACCGTGTCCAAGACCGTGATTACAGGAGTTGCGCTTATCACTAGTCGGTTGTCTTTTGTTTACGTCGTAATTTAGATTATTGAGAATATTATTATTTTTTTGCCGTGCGTGTATGTATGTCTGGCTAAATATTAAACGGGCGCTTTTCAGACGTTCATTTTTAATAATACAAATAATATTTCATCAAATTCGAGACTGTGAAATCAAAAAGTTATGTTTCATCCACGTGCTTTGTACAGTACTCGGTGAGATTGCAGTAGACATATTATGTATGTATTATACTTTAAGCATAATATACCTTTAAAAAATACAACACGCAATGCCTAACCACCCAACTATTCTATAGATGACTGCCACGAGAAAACTTACACCTCAAAACACAACCATTGGTCTACGGGATACCGGAATACAGGTGTCGTATACATTCCAAGACTGAGTGATCGAGGCAACCCGCGTCCATTGATCGAGTTATCTTTTCTAAGTTCCTACTGCGCACAATACAGATAACTGTCTACTGATTAGGCCAACTTCAATTCCCGACTTGTGGCAGTTATTGGTCTCGTTTTAAAAATGCACAAGTGTATAGTGTGTGGCAATACATCTAATAACACCTATGTCGATCGCCAAGAAGTTATTTATCATGGGTGAGTATCCATATGTTCTAGAAATTTAATCGCTCAAACTGTTGTGAAAAATATGCACATGGATTTTTGAATCATATTATTGACATGGTTCAATATCCTGGTGCGGGATACTGTGAAATAATTTTCAACCTGTTTAGCTTAGTAATTTATTTGAAAATCTAAAAATTTGGCTTATTATGATAAAAGTGATTGCATAGAATCTAAATTTTACAGAGACGAACATATTGGAAAAGCAGTTGTAAATAATTTTAAATCACCAAGACGGCCATCTGGACTTACTAGAAACAATGAGGATATGAGTAATAAAAATATGCTGGTCAGTAATAAGTATTAATATTTTTAATAAGCATTGTCAATACAATCTGATGTCTTACATTTTTATGATTTTCCATGCTTTTTTTATTGGTAGGGCCACGGTTTTCAACGTCCTGGATTCTCTTTTTTAGTAATTTAGTGCTTCTAATAAGACATCAGTATTATTCTTGTCCATTTATATTTACAAAATAGTTATCTGTGTTCTTATTTTGTTTTTTTTTTTTTACGATTATGCAGTGTTTAAGTGAGTTTTTTATTTATGTTATATTATGTACACATATGCCGGGTTGCATGAACGCCCGTTAAATGTTTAACGAGCCGTTAGCGCGCTAACGAATGATTAAAATTTTATTCATCTGTTAAACAATCTTTAAACGTTCAATAGTTTTATTGGGCCGTTAAAATATAGGTTACCAGCTCATTAAACTAATGGGCCGATTTCGGCTCTTTAAATTTTAATTATTCGATAATCCTACAGTTATCAGTTATCACGCATACGTATTCAGGTGTCAGTAGTACGTCGTCACTATACCTACCCTGTAGTTGGTCGTACTTACTAAATTTTTTTCTTAATACTTATAAGCTATAACCGAAAATAGTAAAAATGTCGAGTTCTGATTCAAGTTTATCGATTTCCGATGATGAATTGGTTTTGGGTATTTTGTGTCATTTACCTAGACCGAGGTTATTTAGAGATCGATCAAATCCTTTGGAGGAATTTGATGAACAGAACCGAAAACGCCGAAGAAAGATTAAGTACAGACTAGTAAATAGCAGTAAAGCATTTAGCAATTATTGTTATTATACATATTCAAAATTAAAAGTTCAAACAGCTGTTGATACAGTATCTAGATCATATGATTTTATCACTTTTTCTGTGATAAACTTAAATTTCTACACTAACCTCGGTATCATGTTTAATACCAATATATTTTTATTGTACGATTTGTGCAACCCAAACGCTTCTGTAAAAATATTTAACGGCTCGTTAAAACTGTTCATTAAATAAATTTAAAGTTCGGTTTCATGCAACCCGGCAATTTGTTAAAAAATTGATCTATTGTAATCTATGGTAAGAACATTATCTGTGTTCGAATGTTGGTTACACAGATAACAAATGTTCGTGTGGCATCCTTTTAATTGATTCCTATTTTTCTTATAGATTAAAACTACCTACAAAATACAGATATTATAAAGAATAATATAAATAGTAGCGTTCCATAAATTTAAATTAAACATTCAGAAAATAAATGATTTTTTGAGTGCATATTTGAAAATTTTAATGCATACTGTATATTAATATTATATTTATGCATTTTTAAGATTTTTTAGCGCCTTTATAGTTGGTTATTAATGCATACAAATCCGTGCTCCAGTTATAAGTATTTCTAACTCTGACAAATTAATGTGGAGACACTCCATATAATATTATGCTTATGTAATTCAAAATGTATGTTTTAGGTTAAAAAAAACCTAAAATGGCTTATGGTATAATATATATATGTTAAAAAATATTGTTTTTGTAACAAGTTAATATAATGTAAATAAATTTATTTCAAAAACATTTATTTTCTGAAATAACGAGTGTCTTAAGTTAGATGGAAAATCCTATATATTGGTTACTTATGAAAATAGTTTATATTTTAGTTATACTTATATTTTATTTTATAGATTGCTGAAAAGAGAGAACTTGTATTACAACTAAGAAAAACCATGGCAGAAACTAAAAGAAATCGACAACACAGATTCCAGACTCAGAACCATCAGGAATTTTAAATATTATGAAGCCATAAATATTTTGCATTGTATTACATAATATTCATACATTTTTATTTTTCATTTTGGGTTGAATCCGTAACAAAGTATATATTAAAATTAATAGCTAACAAAAATATTTAAAATGTATACAATTTATAAAATTGTATTTATTTTGTATCATACAGAAGTAATTATTATTATTGAGTTGGAAGGAAAAAACTAAAAAAATAGGAACTTTTATTGTGATTTACAAATTAAATTAATATAAAAATTTACTAATTTGAAATGAGTTTTTTATTTTTTAATAAATTTTACGAAAATTCTGTAGAGGTACACCACTGGTATGACAAATCATTTATTGCAAATAAAAATAATTACAATTTCCGGTTCCGCTCTTCATATGATTATTATGATATTCTAATTTCATTCAATACGTATATTTTCACTTTGTTATATTATATTCTGATGTCATAATATGTAATATTTATTATTTTAAATAAAATCTTGGGAAAAAAATAATCATCAAATCATATTTTTATGTTATCGTCACAAAGATTCTACAACGATAGAATATAATATAATATGATTATTTTATACTTATATTATAACATCTGTGCTTACATAAACGGTTCCATCTGTGCTCAGATGATAGCCATCGATCATCGGCCAGATCTACACAACGGCATTCGACTATCGTTGAAATATTTTCTTCAGTGGGTATAATTTATTTATAAGACTGCTATGACACTTTCGTTTTGAAAAACAAAATTAAACTAGTCATTTCTAGCGATGTCATAGTATTTATATACATATTATAATTATATTACCTATATATATTATATTATACATATTATAATATTTTTTTTTGTCGGGTGCTAAGGCTTCAACAACTGAGGTCATTAGTTTGGAGTACTGTAGGGATTGGATCAGGTTATAAACACGTGTGTGTTTGTTCGATAAATTTCGATGTATACGGTAATATTAGGTATAAAGGTATACCCACACAGCATTTGGGAAATGATAATATTTTGTGAATGTCTTAAAGTGGTTGAATAATGCTTATTTAACTAATAATACTTTATACATATATTCTTCTTATGATAAAAAAATATTGTACTATATTATTGCATAAAAATGTTGACTTAATATTTTTATAAAGTTTCCGTAGAAATGTTTTTTGAAAATATATGATTAAAATACTTTGAAAATGTTTTTTTATAAAATATTTCAAATATATGAGCTCTTGGGCCAAAGAATATAACTAAAATATTTCATAATTATTTACGCAACTTTTAAAAATATTTTTACCATAGTTTTGAAATATTTTTATGCTTTATATGTATAAATATAATATATCGTAGAACAAAAATCATGTATTGAAATCATTAATTCCTAATTTTTATTCCACTGTTAGATATTCAGAATACCATAATTTTATATTGTATTATAATATTGTGTTACAAACCATCAATGCTAAAAGAAGACAAATGTGTAGAAGTGAATAATTTTATTAAATATAAATGTTTGGAAACTTTTCCGAATTTGTTGAATTGCCAATAGACACACATCAAAATAGTACCTAGATTTGATGGAAAATATGTTACACTCCAAACTCTGTGATTTGTTAAAATTGTTTAAACTGGCTTACGGTTCATTGCTTTTGGGGTTCTACACAACCAGCTATATCAATTTGCTTTTTAATGTTTATTTTATGTTTTCAATGGTTTTCCACAAAATCTATTTTGGTTTTTGTTGTAACTCTAAGACGAATGAACGTATATACGTGAAACTGGTTGATTATATTTTCATTTTCTATACATGATAAAATTTTCAAAATATTTTGATATGTTTTGAACTGTTTAGGGATATTTTCAGTTTCCCATTTTATTATTTTTTATTTCTATGAATGTCATTAAATCTTTATTTGTTAAATAAAAATACTTGAATAATTAATACAAAGCTCCTACTATATTGTTATTTGTTACACTGATATTTGAAAAATACTAAAAATCCTTAGTCACAGTTTTTTGTTATAAGTATTTAAAGTTCAAAATTCGATGGCTAAGAGGCCAAAAGTTGTATGTCCCAAACACTAAATTTTTCGGGAGAGCAGTTTTAAGATTTTAAATTATTCTACACCAAATAATTTGCGTTGTAGATTTTTGTTTTTCGGTGTTGCAACTGATTTATTTGTAAAATATTCTGTAGATTACATAAATTATTGCTTTTAGGTTTTAAAATTTTTTCAAACGTAATTATAATGTTTCTTTTAAATTTAAATGGGACTTGTTATGAATGGCAATTATAATATATTTTTACCGTGGACATATAAGGTTTTGATGGACATATTAAAAGTTGTTAATTTAATTAAACTCTAATTAATTTATTACATAAATAGTTAAAATGTACGTAAGACTTATTTTTTTAATATAAAAAATTCAATTTGTTTTTAAAATTGCAGTAAAAAAGTAAAAATATAAAATATATTGGAATTTTTTATTGAATGTGAAAAATAATAAAGTAGCATTTTTCATCAAATTTTTAGTCAAATAAAACCAGTGTTTAATGATATTTTATGCTAAGTGAAGATATCATATTATTAAGTGTAATTTAAAATTAAAAATTTTTATTATTTAAAATTAAAAATTTTTATTATTTAAAATAATACGTCCGGACATATTATTTTTTTATAAATAGATAAACAAATTCAATATTATCTAAAACATTACACGTCCAAAATTCAATAAATTGTTTTTGACAAAAGTAACAAGTCCGGACTTGTTATATTTGTCCGCTTAATATTTAGATCATGTTAAAATATTTATCGTATGTCTCATTAAATTAGGACTTGTTATATGTGTGCACTAAAAAAACATATCTTGCACTAAAAACACAAAAATTAAAGTATAAATAAAACATGTTTTAATCATGATATTGACTTATAATGTTTTACCGAATCAAAAAGACGACCCAGATAAACCCTATGAACTAATAAAACAATTTTGAGAAAAATTGGACATACAACTTTTGGCCTCTTAGCCATCGAAATATTGACAAAATACGTAAAAATGAAGAAAATTTGCAAATCATTTTAAGTTAGAAATTCATAACAAATTTTCTTTTTATATCTGAGATATGAAAATGTAAAACAAGATTCCTCATAAGTTTGTCTACCTTTATCAAAAAAAAAAAAATGTCTACAAGAAACTCAAATTAGATTGTTATGAGCGTTTAAAATTCATATTTTTACAACATTTGATATTCACTCGATTTCTCATGTAACGATTTTCTTCTTTTGTGATTCAATTGCGTCATGCTAAATATTTTCAAATTATGAATAAACAATGATGTGTGTAATAATAATTTTACGGTCGTTTAATTAGAGGATCATCATTATTCGATGCCTACAATATTAATCATAAAATAAATAATATTTATTCTTTAATTTCAGTTTTGGAAACAAGCTTTCGAAATGACGACTGTTTTTCAAATAACCTTGAGTAATATTTTAATGTTATGCAAGTGTTATGGCTTGATTGATATTCATATACTGTGGAGCCGACTGGATTTTTGGTTCAAAATAGAACTTCAAAGTTTAACTTATTTCTAGAAATAGCATGAATGGTTGTTTTGTTAATATGCACTTATTTATATGTTCCAAAATGATAATTAGGTATATATTGATTATTTTTGAACATGAATTTCTCAAGGATGTAAAATTAGTTTAATTATTATATTTGTACATTATACATGATTGAAAACATTTGCGATTGCGAGATAAAAATTAAATATAAGTTACAGCTATAATAGGTAATATGTCAAACGAGCATGTCGAAAATATAATTTTGCGAAACTTTTAAAATAAACCGTTCCCAAATAGGTATAGGCACTCTTAAAATGTTTCCAATATCAAAATCAATCATTTTGGAAATATTTAGTAAAATATTTTTAGTAATATTTGCAAACGAATATTATGGAAACGTGCACTTATCTGCCATTAACTGACGTGACAATATTTTAATTATACACTTTTTTTAAATATATTATCAAATGGTCATTAATTAGTAACATTGGAAATAGTAAGCCAATCAAACAAGGTAATTATTTCTGAATGTTGAACGCGTTGGGGGATGTACCTCCAACCATGTTAGTTCGTTTGGAGTGAAATCATTCTGTACACACTACACTGTGTTAAACAAATAATATTTATACCGGTTCAATACTACCTTGTGATGTGTGGAGCCACAAACCTATCCAGTATGTTAGACTATTAAGTTCAATATTGAGATTTAATGGTAAAGAAAAATAGGCATCATATTTATAGTACCTAACTACTGATAATCAGTCTGTTATTCGGTTTAAAAAAAAACCATAGGCCAATTAAAGTCATATTGCTTTTTAATATTTTAATTATATATATATTTTTTAAATTTTTTCACTTTCTATGAAATGTTCTAACCTACTTTAAGCGGAAGTAAGTATATGACTACCCGGCTGATATAAAATGTGAATTATGTATTGATTTAATACTTAACAACTTTGAATTTAATTAATAATTGTAAAACTATGAATCAAATTTATTTAAGAGATTCAAAAAAATCTCAATATTTCATGTTTTCTAGAATAAGCATGGATTCATCTATAGCTAGTTTATGATAGGTACGCGCTCAATTATTATACTTTTACAATTTATTATATAGGAACCTACTACCTATTATACTTCGACATATGTGTATAGTTATTGTATCCATGACACAATGCAAACACATATATTTTATTGTACACAATAATATGACCTCTCTTGATTTTAATGTTATAATTCGTAATAATGTATTAATTTTGTGTTTACTCGAGTAATCCATTACAGCTCTACATACTCCCACTTTTTAAATAGGTAATATTAAAAGTAAACAAGTTTACAAGGGTGAAATTAAAACGCATGAACTTGACGTTCGGTATAGATACACAAATAACGATTTTGGTAAACATTTCATTAATAATATAGGTCTAGTAGTACTGGTGGTATATGGCTTACTTAATTCTGTGTGCCATGACATTAGACCTTTTAAAGTTTTTAATTAGCCGCCGTTTGGTGACCACCCTCTGTTCTGTATTCGTATTATTCGGGCTGTTTATGTTAAAAAAGACCATGGTCCGCGCTTGGTGGGCATGTGTGTGTGGTCTGTTCCGCCGTTGAAATGCAATGTCGGGCTTGTACATGAAATATCGGAGTACCATAAATTCTTTTAATTTCATATATTTCGAACTACCATTTCAGAAAAGACGAAATTCGGAATGTACAGGCCTCGAATTTACAATATTTGAAATTAAAAAAAACATGAAATATATTATTTGTAAGCTATATTAATGATTTGGAAACCATTAATTTATAATGAACAAACCATGAAAGTGGTTATCCTGTGACCAACTTATGGCGGTGCTGCATTGCAAGTCGAGGGATATTTTCATTTTTTTTTTTGTTCGAGAGCAGCGCAGCGAGCGAGAGGAAACGTGGGCAACAATGTAAATAATATACGATGTTTTTCACGTCGGTGTCACTTCTGATCACTGTAGGCTTTCTTCTAAGTTAATTGCTCGACGTAAAGTTCACACGCTCGTAAATGCAGATCTATATTAAGAGTTACGACGATCTGCGCAAGATTTACCCTAACGAGGTCAACAAGTAGTAGCTTAATAGGAATTAATATTTATTATTGATTTTAAGTTTTGTATTTTTTTTAACGTTTGTTTGATATATTTTAACACATAGGTTTATAATAATATACCTACTTCGGCTACAACAACAACATTCCTTGCTTCATGGAGTAATTTAAAAATTAATATTTCAATGTCATGAAATCTGATTTCTCGAATAAAAATATAATTAAAATATCTTGGCCATAAATTGTAACGTGAAAAATATGATTGTATTTTTATCTTGGAATTTGTGATTCAAATATTCTAATGTTAAAAACGATAAGTTTAATTTTGAATTATTTATTGATTTAAAATTATTTATAAGACAGTAGTGAAGATAAATTTTACAATACAAGGATTAGTCGGGTATCTAGTACCTAGTAGCGTATATTATATTATCTATGTATATACTGTATATCCATTATCCGCTGAAAATTGTATATTATATTTTATTTTGAAAATAAATAAAATTATATAAGTGTTACATTAGCTTATATAAAATAAAAAAAATGTTTTAACATTTTGAAAGAAGCAATTTTTAATACAATTTGATTTGATCAATAGTACCTAAATAAATAAAATATAGTATAAGTATTCTTTACTGAGTGACCTTTATTTTTCAATTTCTTTTTTTTAAAAGTGGTGTTTTAAAAGTCCATAGCGTAATGCATTTTAAAGTAGGTATATCACAGCCAGTTGAATCTGGTGTTCTGGTTTCACCACAGAATATTATTATAATATTAATTTATTATGTTATTATGTAATTGCAAATTTAAAGAAAAGGTTTTCATCTGATAGTCTTGAAATGGCTGAAGCTGTAGACAATTTCATCAAATAAGATTTTAAAAAGAATGAATTGTTTATTTATCATTATATTTATGGGTACCTACTTGTAACTTTTAAAGTATATTATTATATTTTAGAAACACAATGACATTTTAAAATGCAATTTTTTCGGCAAAAATGAATTTAACCTACTGTAGCCCAATGCCTCTAATAGTAAAATATATTACTCTATTCATAATATACACTTAATAATATTATATCTTCGTTCGGAATCGTTTTTCGTATACCTGCACCTGTACAGCAGAGCGTTAATCACTTACCTGCGTTTTTAGTCAGTGTTATTGTCTCAAAATAAAAAAAAACCTTATATAAATGTGCTTTTTATTAAAAACTGAACATTTCCGTATAAACTATAGGACATCTGGCACACCTATCTTAAAAATATATTTATAAGTCTTCTAATAACATGTGAAAATGATAGTATGTAAGATGCAACTATACTGATCTGTTGGACTTCAAAATATTGAACTAAGAAAAATTAAAATCCAAATATTTCAATCTTTTTATACAATAATATTATTCACACACATAGGTAAATCATTGAAGTATAACATATTCTGTTGTCTCTATGTAAAAAAAAAAAAAAAATACAATTAATTAATAATTACAAAAATATTGATTATAATTACAAATTATAATAGCCTGCCCTTGCAATTTTTTGACCCACAGTGGCACATAAGTCTTTTGTCTTTCACGCTGCCTATCATATAATTATAATCCCAGGCTAGTTCGGTTCCTGCTCGAATATTTGATAGTGCAAAGTATGACACCCATGGAAATCTAAGGTCATGTGTATCGATAAAAACATTTTGAATAAATATGTTTGGGTCACAAGAATGATTAAAATAGCGACCTATGTTCCCATTGACCTTAGCATCCAACGTGTAGATGCCACGGTCTTTATCTAGGTAGCTTAGCAAAGATGTGTTTTTACTTTCAACTTTTTGTTGAGTATTTAACTTAGATAATTCATGTTTTCCATCAGATTTTGTATTTGTATTTTGTAAATTCTTCCGTAACGACATTCTAGATTCAAACATACTCATTTTACTCTTGATTGCCCAACTAGGATTAAACTCTTCATCATCAGATGAACTAGTATAATCTTCACTTTCATCTTCACTTTCATCTTCAATTTCAGTCTGGACCACATAACTTTCATATCCATCTTTGATCTCTTCAACTGTATCGAGAAAGTCCAAATCTGCCAGATATTCGCCCCAGTTTAACGAAAAATCATTATCAGCATCTTTCTCTGTGCGAACCACCCCAAGAAATGTACAAACAAAACTACCTTTGGGAATATCAGTGAGCGTTCTCACTCCCCAGCCTTTTGTTTCAGTTAAAAACAGTTGCAGTGACGTCTTCAGTGGTTCCTGAACAACACGATTTAAACAAGTTTTCTTACATTTACAGTTGGAATTACATTCAAAAATACCCGTGATTACTTGTTTATGTAGCCGTTTGAAACTGTAGCCAACGCTGCCATGGTCTTTGAAAATAGCGGGATAATTTTTTGGACCCTCGTAAGTAAGTTGCCAACAGGAACATTTATTTTTGTCTTCGCAATTATCAATACAATCGCATCCACATAAAAATTTGGGGTCTATATTTAAATTAACGTTAGGGCTAGTTATACGTTTTGTTATATACTTTATGTGGTCTGGTACTAAGTCATTCAAACTGTTGAAAACGCTTATTGGTTTAAACTCCATCTCATAAGATATGTCTTGTATACGAATAAACACTTTTGGTACTGTGAACCAAGATAGAGGATTCACCAAATAATCAAAATTAAATAAGTCCATTGTCATTTGGCTATTACCATAACTTGTCAGTTTCAAGTAATTGTACATTTTGTCTTCATCGTCTATATTAAGCCCGCAAGGAGTGGTATACATTACTTTTCTTAATTTTAACTTTTCGTCTGTTAATACAGACCTCGTAAATCCATAATGTAATGGAATGGTTAAAACATTCATACATTTTGTTTGACTGTAGTCATAGTGAACCCATAACATACAAAAATGAGAACACTCGTGGTGCTTGTAAGGAAGCGGTTTTGGACAGTTTGCTGGTATTTCAATTGATTTAATTACACCATTACTTCTGTGAGGTTTTTGAGTATTGTCACTGTTGTCAATGTCAACACTTTTTTCATCTTCAGTTAAATTTTCTATTACAATATATGGTCGATTTAATAACTTATTAACATCAGTCAACACTGTACCACGTACACGCTTATCTTGATTGTTACTATTTAATTGATTATATATTGGGCTTAACCTGTTTGAGCCCCGATACATCCATTCTGTGTGTTCGACCTTCATATCAAGAAATTTTAACTGTACTAATGATGCATCTATGTTTTTCACTTTAGCTGAACACCATAAGTTTCTTAGCTCTGTGCGTACTACTTGTTTTTTATTAAACTTCACCATAGGCCGTTCTGGATAGTTCCTTAAATATGTCTTCACAGATTCTCGAATATTTTCATGTAGATCGTCGCATACATTTGGTGACTCACCACACACGAGGCGAATATTCTTATGGTAAGCATACTGTGTATATCCATCATCAAAGAAAATCATGTACCTAAGGCAGATCAAAAAAGTGTTTTATTATAAGCTGTGATAATTATATAGGTTAGTTATTTGAGAAAATTGTTAAGCTGCTCTTTGTCTGCTTTTAAACAGTACAACATTTTTTAAAAATGTGAGCAGTAGGTACAATTTTTTTTCTTTAAATTGACACTAATATTTTTCAAAATATCTTTCACTGTCTCATAGGTAGGATAAATTATTGTTATTTGATATTAAATAAGATTGTTGTTACTATATTATTTTATTTAAATAATGGGATTATGTAGGTATCTCCTAATAATAATAATAATAATAATAATAAAATTTGTTTGGGCAGTATGATAAACTTAATAAAAATAAATTACCTAATGACTAATATTATAAGTTTCTTTTAAAACCGTTGCTGATTTGTTTAATGTTTTTAACCATTTTTCAGTAAATTGTTGAGTCCTTCATTAAAGTTATTACCTCTATTTTATTCAATTTAAATTTTAGGTTCTATGACATGACAGACATTATTATGGATAGATAATATAGATATCTTGCATTGAACCGTAGGTATAAACCAATTTTTTATATTAAAAACCTGGCAACAGAGACTAACATTTCATGACTTCCTATAAATTCATGGATTGATATTTTATTTAAAATTTTTTACTGTTAAAATTATTATATGTACCTATATAATTTAATATGCAAAATATATAACGGTGTACATAACTTGGTTACAGATGGATAAATTAACTTAGTTATTAAAACATTTGGAAAGAGATAAGTTCTAGTCTAGGTAGGTACAAAACTATTTTTTTTGTTTAGAGTTTGTCTATTATCAAGTATAACAAATGGTCAGTAATTTTAATATAATATCTTCCGGTGCTGACTAATCACAATAGTGATTAATTATATTTAATTTTATACTTATTTATTTAAAATTTTTTTTTGTTTCAAGTAGGTAGTTCAGTTGATTAAACATAATACATTTATACTCTATTATATTTATGAAAATAAAAACTATTTTATATTTTATTTAAAAAAAATAATTTTCTAATAAATACTTAATAAATAATATTAGGTATATTATTAAATTCAATATTATTAGTCAATAATAAACTTTAAAAAAATATGGGGGTGGGAAATGTCCGCATAAAAAATATATTGGGGGGAAAATGTCCATTTACCACAAAGATTACCTACTCTGTCCAGTGAGAGAACGCACTTGAGCACCAACCAAAACTGGTTCCCCCCCATGAAACACATTGCCATTGGGGAACTGGTTTCGGTAGCACGGCAACATGAGGGAATGCGCATTCTCTCGCTGGACAGGGTATACCTACCTAAATTATTTATTAAAATTTATTAAACAGACCTGAAATTGTTGAATTTTTTTGGTGGTTCTCCAATTACTCCTACATAGAATTTATCCGTCAATTGAATGTTCATATCTTGGAATTTGGCGATCACTCTACTGCCTACTGGATACTGTGCGTGGCTTGTAGCATCTATGTATGCTAAATTTTTATAATTCAAAACTTTTTCCCCCCCATCATCAAATAGAATATTAAAATATGTGTCACTAACTGCTGATTTAATAGTCGCCTCAATCCACGGGTGCATTTGTGAACGTTTCATCCCATACACTTTGTCACCCACTTTTAATAAGTGTCTTATTAGTAATCCTTCTTCGGGTAAATCATCCAGCAATCCAGGTAACGTCTTAGTTAATACAATGGGTACATCATCATCCAAGTTTTCAAAAATACTTATCTCTGGGTCATACTTAAACTTCCTTTGACTATCAAATTTGTATAAGTTGTTGTATAGTTTTCCGATTGCCAGATCTACCTGATCCACCAAATTGTCTATTTGTTCTTTTCCAGCAACTAGTTTGGCTTTTTCAGAAATCAAATAGCTTTCGCATAATTCTTTTTGTCTTTTGAATAATGGCTCAACACTATCCTGTATGATTGTGCTCAATGATGTATTCAATTCAGCTATTTGAGGGTCGGGGTTTTCTGTTGAGGGCTCGGTATAATTGTCGACGGCATTATCGTCATCAGAGTCTGATAACTCAATTATAACGGATTGTTTTTTTGGATATCTGTCGTCGAGTATACATTGTCCGTTTTTAAACCGTCTACCAATCCTATCAAAATATATGATACATTTCTGCATACAGGCCCCACACACTTGGCGATCTGGCATGTAAACGACATTATAATAATCGCACATATTTTTTTGGGCGGCGAACAGCTTACATTTAGGTTTTGATTGACAATTATCATTGATGCACCGACGGTCGGACATATTGCTATTACAACACCAACTACCTAAGTATTCAATTAATTTTGTCAAGAAAACATTAAAAAAAAAAAACTCAAAATAATACGTCGGAGAGCAATCGGCACATAGTTATAATAGTGATCGTTGACTGTCGAAAAATAACGAAAACAGTTAAGTAAGAGTAGTAAAACAGTTACAGTTAACTGTAATAAAACAGAACGGCGTTCGTCCAGCAAGCAACTCAAAACAATATGTCGGAAGTTTGGCGTCCACGCCGTCAACATCGTTGTTGACCGTTATCAAATATCATGATAGTATTAATTGGTAAACATTGGTTTAATACCTTATACCATGGTAAAGTCGCCTTCACAGCTCACCGTGAAACGTGATAACTGATTATAATTTGTTCCCGTAAAAATATTCTTAACCACGACTGTCAACCATACGGTCATAGCACGATTATACAGATCTTTATAATAAGTTCTTTATAATCGTGGGTCATAGATAACATATAAAATACGGTAAACACACGCTTGATTGATCCGATCGATGAAATGGTTTTCCTTCTAAGTAATACTTATGGATCTCTATAATTTTGATTTTAATTTTCAACAGTTTTTTATTTTTATATAGTTATGCTTGTCAAATTAATGATGTTGAAACTGGAAATAATGTAACTTTACCATTGGAACGAAAAATTGTATAAAGTGAGTTAATAAAAATAGTATTAGACTAGATTTTTTTTTATTTGAAAATCTAAAAATTTGGCTTATTATGATAAAAGTGATTGCATAGAATCTAAATTTTACAGAGACGAACATATTGGAAATGCTGTTGTGAATAATTTTAAATCTCCAAGACAGTCATCTGGACTTACTAGAAACAATGAGGATATGAGTAATAAAAATATGCTGGTCAGTAAATAAGTATTAATATTTTTAATGAGCATTGTCAATACAGTCTGATATCTTTATCTTTTTTATGATTTTCCATGCTTCCCTTACTGAATATGTAGGGCCTTGGTCTTCATCGTCCCAGATTCCCTTCTCTAGTAATTTAGTGCTTCTAATAAGACATCAGTATTATTCTTGTCCATTTATATTTATAAAATAGTTATCTGTGTTCTTATGGTGTTTTTTTTAATTTATGTTATATTATGTACTCATAATTTGTTAAAAAAAAATGATCTACTGTAAACTATGGTAAGAACATTATCTGTGTTCGTATGTTGGTTACACAGTTAACAAATGTCCGTGTTGCATCCTTTTAATTGATTCCTATTTTTCTTATAGATTAAAACTACCTACAAAATACAGATATTATAAAGAATAGTATAAATAGTAACATTCCATAATTTTAAATTATACATTCAGAAAATAAATGATTTTTTGATCATTTTAATGCATACTGCGTATATTAATATATTTATGCATTTTTAAGATTTTTTAGCGCCTTTATAGTGGGTTATTAATGCATACAAATCCGTGCTCCAGTTATAAGTATTTCTAACTTTGACAAATTAATGTTGAAACACTCCATACAATATTATGCTTATGTAATTCAAAATGTATGTTTTAACTCAAAAGGTTAAAAAAAACCTAAAATGGCTTATGGTATAATATATGTATGTTAAAAAATATTGTTTTGTAACAAGTTAATATTATGTAAATAAATTTATTTCAAAAACATTTATTTTCTGAAATAACGAGTGTCTTAAGTTAGATGGAAAATCCTGTATATTAGTTACTTATTAAAATAGTTTATATTTTAGTTGTATTTTATTTTATAGATTGCTGAAGAGAACTTGTATTACAACTAAGAAAAAACATGGCAGAAACTAAAAGAAATCGTCAATACAGACTCCAGACTTAGAACCATCAGACATTTTAAATATTATGAAGCCATAAATATTTTGCATTGTATTACACAATATTCATACATTTTTATTTTTTATTTTGAGATCAATCCGATCAATCCAATTGATTACGTTTGTTAGTACCTACCTAATAATTTTTCTTAAATGTTAACTGGTACATTTGATTAAACTGATTTAATTTGGTTTTTGCCTATTGCCAGCTTTTTTAACAAATTCTTAAAGAACAAAATCTGATGGTCTCGTGTCTAGACTATGCAGTTGGCGCTGACTATTGAATTTTGTAACGCTGTGTAACCGTCCACAATCTACAAAAAAAAATCCATAAATAAAGAAATATGGCTCGAAAAATTGACTAAATTTGCAAAAATATGTAACATACAATTATAGATTTGGATTGGTCGTAATATAAAATAAATTTCAAATTTGTATCTCGTTGACATTTTTTTTTCATTTAAACATACAAAACAATATTATGTAAAATATCGTATGAATATATTTTTATTTATTTTATAATTCTAACATATTATACATTCTATCATGCATTTAAGATGTGTGGAGTACAACAGTTTTTATTTTATATCTAAAATAGTAGAATTTGAGTTACCTTTAATAATAAAAAAAAATGTAAGCCACACTGTATCTAAAAGTAAAATATTTATACAAATTTATTATCGGTCTAATATTTGTTATTATTAATTATAAATCAAAAATCTTCAGAATTTAAAAAAAAAAAAAAAAACCGTTTAGTTTTGTAAATATTTTATTTTAATGGGTGCCATGTATAAGTAATAATATAACAAATGTTTGTAAAAATACCATTTAGTATATAAATTATTAGTACATTGTTTATCCAATAATATAAATCTAAAAAAAACTGATTTCCTATAAAGCAGGGTTTCTAGTGACTCACTTTTTTCACTATTTCTCACTATTTTTCAATCAACTCACTTTTTTTTACTATATCTTAAATGTCCTCACTTTTCTCACTATTTATCTTTATAATCTAGAAAATAATTAAAAACCCTACGTTTATTTAAAATTTCTGAAATATTGAAAAAAAAAATATAATTAATACGAAAATAAAATATCTCTTTATATTATTTATATTATTATATGATATTATAATGTAAGTAGGTTTTAACGTATTGACAGTCAGTTGGCGAGCGAGACCCGCATTTTTGTTATCGATGTTTCAGTTTCAGTGTTATTGATATTTGTTTATATTATTTGTGTGCGTGTGTATGATCCGTATAGTGGATAGTATATAATTTATATTTATAGATTTTACAGTGTACATTTATAAGAAAAATGATATTAGGGTTTTCACATGACATTATTAAATTATTTTGTTGCCGTGACTCGAGCTGTCCACACGTACGTTACTCGTAACACGTAAGTTTAAATTTTTGTTATCTTGTTAGTTATTAATTAAAAACACGTTGACTGCCATGCGGCCGCCGGCGGTCACACTATAGGGTATCATGTCTGTGGAGTGATGGCAAAAGCTGATATGTACATTTTCTAAACTTAGTTTTGCCGTTACATATATTTTCGAATAATGACAATCAGTTTTCGTCTTTGCGCATAAATGGCGCCACACACACGATGAAAGACATATCATATTTTTCCACCACTTGAATTATACGATTTTCCAAACTATTTAAATGATAATTCAAAAATTAACAAAATGTACACATCAGCTTCTGCCATATTTCCATAGATGTGTACGCCAAGTAGGTACATTTTCCAGTGTCATTACAAATTTGTATATTATATACTATTAAATTGGAAAAAAAATTTAAAAAAATAAAAAAAAACGTAAAAATATGTTTCAAAATTTTTTTAATTATTCCCGCTACGCCACAGTGTATTTTTCAGTTCATTATTGTAGCGCCATGTAAAAGTTAATAATATAAATCCAAATTCATTTACGGCGGGCCGCGGCTGTACGGCCTCCTAGGAATGACATGGTGCGGCAGCGTACGTTCTAAAAACTATCGATACGTATTTTTTTTTTGCGGCTGCCGGCGGCCGCATGGCAGTCAACATGTTGAAAATAATTTCTTCACTTAATAATTATATATATTTTTTGTATAGTAATAATAATAATAATATATCATCATTCGCCGTATCGACATATCACCGAAACGTTCCATTCCCGATATTACCTCAGTACACCTAATACCTATGCATTATACAATTATAAATGAGGTTTATAAATATTTTATTATAATTATTATTTTAAATTTGACTTATGATGAGATAAAATTCGATATTATTACCTAATTTTTTGTACAGTTGAGTACTTTTTTGCTTTGCGATATTTTTACCGCCACGTTATTACTGCGATACTATTACCACTACAATAATTCCGCCTTATTTTGACGGGTTCCTATTCTAATATTAATTAATAATATAATTTTTTGTTTATATATTTTAAAACATTTTATTATTTTAATTGACTTTTTCTAAAATCAGCTACGTAATACATACATGACTGATGTATATTTTAAATGTCTTAGAAATACCATGAAGTCAATGAAAGTCAAATGTCGAGTTCACGATGAATGGCTGACAAGAAAAGATAAACTCGGGTATGTTATTTCTTCTTGGGCAACAAAAAGAAATGAGTCTAGTGTTTTCTGTGCCGTTTGTCTATCAACATTTTCCTGTGAAATGAAAGGCTTTCAAGCAATAACCCAACATGTTTCTACTAAGTTTCATCAAAATAATGCTGAGTGTAAGCTTGATTCTACACAACTTCGGTTGATTAGGACTCATGACTCAGCGCCTGTTTCTTCATATTCATATACTGAACAGCCGATTCAAAGTTCATCGACGAGTGCTTTGCCGATTTCTAGTAATGTTGGTCTTCGATGTATTAAAGATGAAGCAATAAGGGCTGAGCTTTTATGGACAATGAAATGTGTCTGGTCTAATTATTCTGCTTCATCATGTGACGGAATTGTTAATATATTTAAAGTGATGTTTCCTAAAGGTATTCCAGATGAGTTTTCTCTTGGCAAAAGTAAATTTGGGTATTATGTAACTGAAGCTCTAGGCCCATACTTCAGAAAACAGTTGCTGGCAGATGCAAGCAATGCTTATTATTCGTTACATTTCGATGAGACAACCAACTCTGCTGATTTTAAAGAGTTGCAGGTTTCTATACAATATTGGTCAGAACATGAAGAAAAAATTGTATTCAAACATCTTGAAACTTTTTTTATTGGGAAAGCTACAGGTGATATTTTAGCAGATAACCTTTTAAACGCTTTGAAAAATGCAGATTTGCCCCTTACAAAATTACTAATGTTGGCAAGGGATGGTCCTAATGTCAACAAAAAAGTCCAGTCTATAATAAATGAAGTTGTAAAAAAGAAACGAGGTACATCTTTGCTTGATATTGGGTCATGTAATATACACATTGTACACAATGCTTTCCGCAAGGGGTTAGAAACATTTGGAGCTGATGTTGGTGATATGGTAATAACTGTGAATGCATTTTTTGATGGATGGCCAAGTCGTCAAGAAGCTTTCTTGGATGCACAGATAAAAGTCAACGTACCACAGCATTGTTTTGTAAAACACATTACTTCTAGATGGCTTACCCTGTCTACTGCTGCAAAAAGACTTCAAGAGCAATGGCCGGCATTGGAGCAGTTTTTTCTTCGAGATATTCCTAAAAGTGCAACTCCGAACATGAAAAAAATTGTACAAACAGCCCAATTCAAAAATATTTCAAACTATTTAAAAAACTCGTTTATGAGAGCAGAAGTAGCATTTGTTATTGAAAGTGCAGCTATTTTCGAACGTTTTTTACTCATCTTCCAAAAAGAAGAACCTCTGATTCATATTCTATTTGAAGAAGTAATGGAGTTAACAGCAACTGTGTTGGGAAGAGTGTGCAAGCCTGATGTACTGTTAGATTTAAACAGCGTAAACTCTCATTTCATTTCAAGTAATTTACTTCCTACGAATCGTATTAAATGCGGTGACAATACCGAAAAAATTATATTAAAAATGAAAGATTTAGACCAACTTCACTTTAAAACCAATGTCAGAGACCATTTTATTGCTGCAGCTACTCATTTACTTAATAAAACTATAATCGCATCAAGTGCAACTACAAAACATTTTAAATGCTTAAAGCCAGAAGAGCGCAAGGAAGAAAAAAGTATTCGTAGCATAATAAAAGTTGCTCGATTATTACCTCTCAAAATATCTGAAACAGCATTATCTGACGAATGGTTGCTACTTCAACTTGACTCAAATTTAATAACAACATCAAACAACTCGTCACGTATTGATTGTTATTGGAACAACATATTTAACATAAAAAATGCTATTAATGAATGTAAATATCCTCTTATAACTAAAGTCGTTAAAGCTGTCCTTTCTCTTTCTCATGGAAGTGCATCAGTAGAGCGAGGGTTTTCCATATCTGGACAAATTATTACTCCTGATAAAGTCAGAATGAAAGTCAAAACACTTAACGCTAAACTTAATATAAAAAGTGCTCTAAGAGCTTATGGTGGAAAGGCTGAACTAATTCCAATCACTAGAGAACTTTTAACTGAAGCACATTTTGCATACAGAAAGTATAAAAGTAATTTAGAAGAAGAAAAACGTACGGCAGAAAGAAAAGAAATTGAAAAAAAAGATATAGAAGAAGAAAAGAAAAGAAACCAATTATTAAACGAACAACTTGTTAAATCACAAAAAGATATTAAGATATTAGAAGATAAATACAAAGAAGCCAAGAAAAATGAAGTTTCTCAGAAGAATGTGGCTGAAAAAATGATTGAAGAAGCTAATTTAAGATTAAAGAATGCTGTAAAGAAAAAAGAGTTCAATGAAATACAGATAGCACAGGCTATGTTAGAAGGAGCCCAAACTCTTCACAAAGAATATAAACTGAAGGAAGAAGCTTCTGCAGTTATTAAAAAAAAAATTGAAAAAAGGAAAAACAACCTTATTTCCTCGTTTATCGAAAAAAAACAACGCAAAGATTAAAATTTATTTCGTTTTCAGTTATTTTTATTTGTTTGTTACATTACTATAATAATCATGTTATTATGTACATATGTTTGATTGGTATTTACTATTTGCTTTTTATTTTACTGTTATAATAAAAAAAGTATTTTATTTATATTAACGATGGTATTTTTTATTACATTTTAGTTTTGATGTTACCTATCCTTATTAATAAGATGTAACTCACTTTAACTCACTATTTTGAAAAAAAAACTTACTATTTTCACTATTTTTAAATACCGTAGCTGCTAGAAACCCTGCTATAAAGTATAAAATGGTTAATAGGTATTACCAATGTTTGGCAAGTTAATGATTTTTTTTTTAACTCGGTTAAGTTAAGTTAAAAAGTTAAAAGTTAATTTAACTATAGGTTAAATCAGTTCAGTTAAATATTAATACACATTTTTTGTTAACTTTTTATTCAGTAAAAAAAAATTAAATTTGTTTATACAAGACTAGCACACTTAATTTTTTTCCACCCAAAAATTAAATTAGAGACTAATGTTTATACTGTATACAGTATTTCCATATAAGTTAGATTTGAATAAACATGAATATAATTTTTTAACTATAAACAATTCACTGTAAATATTTTTTGACATGACAACGAAATAGACTGAAATAGTGAAATATAATAAGAATAAAAATAAAATAACATAACTTAATCTTAAAATGAAAAATTAATTTTTTAGGTAATTTCAAGTTAATTAAAAAAGAAATTTAGTAAGTTGACAGTGAGGTTAATTAAAAGTCAACCAAATCACTTAATCACCACAATGAAATACAATTACATTTTTAATAAGTCATAAATAGGGTTCGGATTTGAAGGCAAATGCCTTTTTTTTATTAATCATAATAGAAAAATAATTTTTATACAAAAATGTGTTTCATTTAATTTCTTAGAGAATGGATCTTTTTTTTTTTTGCCTTTTTTACCTTTTGTTTATTTTGCATTAAATTAACTGGTATAACTCAAGTAAGTTAATATTTAAAATTGTTTTTAACTAATTCTTAGGACAAACCTGGTTAAAGAAAAAGGTACCTAATCTATTTATACAAAATAGCATAAACTTAATGTAGTTTAGTATTCATGCTCATTTTTAATTTGTATTTTTCTCAAAATGTGTGCATTTAAAAGTGTTTAAAAAATGTTCACTATTTTATTTTGTAATATATTTATGAATTGCCTTTTTTGTATAAATTAAATGCCTTTTTTTTGCCTTTTTTTACATTTTAAATGCTTTTTTTATTGATTATATTGCCTTCAAATCCGAACCCTAGTCATTAATATTTAGTTACAATACCCTAATCCTATAAAATAAATGTCATGCAAACAAGAATATATTTCATTTTTTGCGATGTATTGACAAGTGCGTGCGCGTGTGAGAGTTGTTTCCGGCGCGGTTGTCCGACTCGACGTGACAGCGATTCTCGGAAACAATTAGCAGATAAGGATTACTGGATAGGTGTACAAGAATAATTAATGGGCAACAATAATAATCAATAATAATAATAATAATAATATTTTTCCAAAATTAAATACAACCAAATATAATATACTATCCATACGAATCATTTTATTTGAACACTACACTCTGATCACTAAAGTTATCAGTGAGTTTCCGGTGGTTGGTGCTTTTTTTCATTCATTTACAATATGAGTAAAGACTGGCGTTTTGGGCGAAAAGCTAGGTGTAAGTTAAGTGCACCTAGGTTAAAAAAACATCGATTGAACAATTCACAATCAAGATTGAAGAAAAGTGATGTATAAAAATTACAATAATATAAATATTCTAAAAAATTGAAGATTATTCACTACTTATTCATTATTCGTTGATTTTAATTGTAACAGGAAAAAACACATTTACTAGCGTCCGATAATGTTTTGATAGATGATATGAAGAATATAGAACTTACTATTGAAACTAGGCAATTAAAACAGTTTTTGAATATAAGTCACTGTAAAATTGGTAAATAATAAAAAAGTCTGTAGAAAAAAAGTCCTAAGAAAAAAAAATTTTAAAAAAAATAATTAATTAGGAAGGTATATTGTACCTATATGTTACGTAATTATAAACCATGCACTAACCATTATCATAATTAATAAATTGTATTTTAAAATTACTTGTACCTACCTATATTAAATTATTATATTAAAATAAGTTAGTAAAAGGTTAACAAAAAAATATTTTGTTATTTATTATTATTATAACTATAGGTATATAAGTTAATTATCACATGTACCTATAGTAAGTAAATTTGAGTATACAGAGGCACAGAGCAATTAAAACATATTACTTGAAAAATTACTATTTAATAATAAAATATTTTTCTTTGATAGTTGCAGTTTACGAACTAATTTTAATTAAATATTTTTATTTCTATTTAATTATTAATATATATTAAATAATTTTTTCTCGGACTTTTTTTCTTATCATAAAAATATATAAGTTGTATTAAAACTTTTATAATTTTGAATATGCTACAACATGAACAATTCTTTAAAAATTACCAAAAATCACCCCCCTAGGTCTAACCAGGGGATGCTCAAACGGGGATTTACAGATTTATTTCGGTTTAGAAAAATTATATTTTGCAATTTTTTTCGTAAAGTAGGTAACGTAAAGCGTTTTGATTTTAATTCTATGTGCCAAAGCAAAAACAAAATAATTACTATTATAATAGTTTTAAAATATAAATTACATAATAAAAATTCATATACAAATGTGCGTATTATCAAGAAAAAGTATCATAGTTACTGTAGATACTTGAAAATTTCACTGAATGTTTATATTAGCATTTTCTATACACCATACAATTTTGAAAATAATTTGACTCTTTTGAGCTGTTTGTTGAATGTTGACATTTCAAAATTTCGAAATTTCAATTATTTAGTTTCTTTTTTTTATTGATAAATATCCATAAAATTTTATTTGTTGGGTCAACAGTTTGAAAAATTAATACAAGACTCCTGATATAGTATGTGACAATAAGCATTTAAAGTTCGACTTTTGACAGAATTTATCAAAATCTCGAAAATGATCAATCATTGTATTTAAAAAATTATAAAATGTTCAGTTTTTTTTTTGTATACTAAAATGCATTTAAAATATTTTATTTTGTTTTAATTTTAACATCCCTATTTTTTTCCAATTCAAACACTGTATATTGCTGTATAGGGTGTAGGTAATATGACCGTATTGTTATTTTCTTTAGGGCTAATGAAGAATTTGTTATGACTGATGAAATGTATGAATGCCTTCTACATCTACTCCAAAAGAAAATAATTTGACTAATTAAATTATTTATGATTTATGTCACAATAAGTATAAAAAAAAAATTGTTTTGCCACACTAGATTTCTCATGAATTTCACTTTGTTATAATGTTTTGTGAAATCAGATTCTTATGGACGAATCAAGATTTTAGAATTTTTTGTTTAATATTTCTTCAATAATAATTTCTACAATTTTTTCAAACCATTTTTGCTTTGTAGAATTGAAAAATACATAATACGTAAAACTAAAAATCATGTGGACTGTGGAGGGTAATACAAATTTAAGAACACAATTTTAAATTATTATCATTATTAAATTTTGGCAATTTTTTTTTAAACAGTGATTATTCGTCAATCTGTCATTATAATGATTTCGAACTTTAAAATAAACCTGATAGTTCCCTAAATGATACTCGTAGAAAAAGGCGAAGTCGAAGTGGACGAACTAGGAGGACCATGTACCTATTACTGTAGTTGCAAACAGAGCTTGGTCAAAGCGCTCATATAAGACAAACTATAATGCGTTATCAGGTGTCCAGTGTCGCTACTATAATACTTTACTATAAATACTAAAAAAGTATTATTCATGGGAGTAAGAAATAAATACTGTGTAATTTGTGAAATTGCATTAAAATCTGGGAAACCAATTCGTTCTCATATTTGTTATAAAAATTGGTCAGGTTCATCTACATTCATGGAGTCAGATATTATTGTTCAAGGCTTTAAAGAAAGTAGGTATCACAATGCATAATTTAATTTATGCTAAATTAATCGGCGATGGTGATAGTAGAGTAAGCAAAAAACTGCATAATATATCAAAACCATTTGGCCCAAACTTTACAGTTGTTAAAATTGAATGTAAAAATCATAGAATGAGAAATTATATAAATAGAAAAAGAAAAAAATAAATAGAATAAGAGAAGAATAATTGTTCATAAATTAAACAGACCGGTATAATAAGTAATTCTGTATTCGAGTGTGTTAGTAAATAAAGTTAATAAAGTTTGTACATTTTTATATTATTATGATTTTAAATAATTGTCAATTTGTTAAATGTTTTCAAATATATTATTTTATATAATATTATTGTAATTATTATATTATATAATTATATCATTTACCTAGTTAAATAATATGTTGTCTAAAAAGTATAATCGTACTTTTTTTTTCATTTATTAGGTATATGATTTTTAAATTTATATGTAACTTGTACTATATTGAATAATGAATAATCGAAACAGAATGATATTCCGTAAGAGTCTGTATAGAAAACCTTAACTGTACTTGACAGTTGTTGGTTAAATCACAGTAAACATTAAAATAAATTAATTGAACTAAATAATTTGTAAAACCGTAGTTAATAATCAATTTTATTTTTATAAATTTACAGTTTTAACAGTTATTACACATTTGTATATAATACGTACATAGAATACATTTTTTATATAACAGGTATAGGTAGTATGTTTCACAGACACAAGTTCTCTATTTAAAAATGTAATTGTAAAAAAATATATGCTTGAATATTAACAGATACTCATTTATGAATTGCATATATGGAAAAAAGCCGTAGAAAAATATTGATTTTGATGTACGGGGAAGTAGACTTTGAAGCGTGTATACCTACAGTACATGTTTTTGGAATATCATCTGATGGCAATGGTAAGATTAAAATTTTATCCTGAGATGTCATAGGTATCTAA